TATAATTAGCTTATCTTTCCTCAAAGTTCTCTTGGGTCACTAGTTTCAGGAAATATTACATTTCTATGGCTTTTTCCAATCTCATCTTTTTTGTTGGTTTAACCAGGGGGTACATGTGCAGGATTGTGACATAGATAGATTGCATAGTGCTGGGATTTGAGCATTTATTGAACTCATCACCCAAACAGTGAACGCAGTACCCAGTAAGTAGTTTTTCAGCCCCTGTCTCGCTCCCTTCCCCTTTTGGAGACCCTAGTGTCTACTGTTTCTGTCTTTATGTCCATGCGTACCTATTGTTTAGCTCCCACCCTGGACCGTTAAAAATTTCTTCCTCCACAACAGCAACAAAAACACTGGTAAAAATTGTCCAAATCAACTTTTTCAGTACTCTAGAAATTAACAAAGGCTTGCAACATTCCAAGGAGCATTTATTCAAGAAAAACAGCTGAATATCAGTAAAAACAGTGAGCTTTGAGGTGTTTTTTTACCTTGCCCCAGCTTTTAGAAGACTTAAAAACCACTTGCACAAATGTGGTAGTTGTGAAAACTTCAGCCTAGCCACCACTGTGGACAGCGGAGGCACAATAGGTTTGGAGCTCCCTAAAAGTCCCATACTGAGAAAAATTGTCAGGAAGCCCCTTCGAAAGCTCCATGCCCCAGCTTTGTTTTTATTTGACCTGACTCAAAGTTTGCTCTTTGAGAACAGCCCTATCCCCAAGGGCATTTGTTGAAAACTATTAGCAGTAATTTATTTAACATCACAGCTACCAGAGGTAGCAATACCAGTTAGGGCTAACAAAAGTCTAACAACAACAACAACAACAACAACAAAACAAAATTTAAAAACAGAAAATGAGATTTCTATAATGTTCCCAAATATTCCTTGGAAGCTATAAGGCCATGTTTATGGGCAGGGCTCTATAAATGCCCAGGAAAGATCTAAAAAGGTCCTAATCTCTCACTTCTGACTGACTTTGAGGTTCTTCTCAGGCAGAAAATAAAAGCTAAGGCAGAGTTGTAAACTGCCTGCAGTCATATTAAACACATACCCCAACAAACACACAGAGACTCTCAGAAAAAGCTAAGAGACTCATTGGTTCAAGGAATTTAATAAACTTTGTCCACTCATTAGCTGTCCACTAAGTTCACTGAGCAGAGACTTCAGTAGCTGCCTACAAAGAATACAGATTTTGCAGAATTATCCTAGAAACATTATCAAACAAACAAACAGCAACAACAAAAATAAATAAATATGCAGTAAAAACAAGAAACCCAGGTAGGGGAAAGAATCCTAGAATAGACACATTATTTTAAATGTCCAGTTTTCAGCAAAACTTGTAAGACACACAAAGAAACAGGAAAGGATGGCTCACGCACAGGAAAAAAGCAACTAATAGAAATTATTCCTGAGAAGGCCCAGATGTTAAACTTATCAGACAAAGACTTTACATCAGGAATTATAAATATATTCAAAGAACTTAAAAATCAGTAACGTAGCTGTCCTCTAAAATTAAAGGATAAATTAAGACAAAACTGAGAAAAGTCATCTCTAGCAGACCTGCCCTACAAGAAATACTAAAGACAACTCTCAAGACTGAGCTGAGAGGACACTAGACAGTAACTTAAATCCATACAAAGAAATAATGAGCGCCAGTAAAAATGTAACTGCATGGTAAATATAAAAAACAGTATAAACGTTTTTTTCTTTATAGCCCTTTTCCTCCACCAGATTAAAATTTAACTGCAGGCTGGGAGTGATGGCTCACGCCTGTCATCCCCTAGCACTTTGGGAGGCTAAGATGGGTAGATCACTGGAGGCCAGGAGTTCAAGACCAGCCTGGCCAACATGGCAAAATCTCAGCACTACTAAAAACATAAAAAATTAGCTGGGCGTGGTGGCGAGTGCCTGTAATCCTAGCTACTTGGGAGACTGAGGCAGGAGAATTGCTTGAACCTGGGAGGCAGAGGTTGCAGTGAGCCGAGATCTCACCACTGCACTCCAGCCTGAGCAACGAAGACCCTGTCTCAAAAAAAAAAAAGATAAGATAAGAAAAGAAAAATTAACTGCATACAGCAATAATTGTAAAGCTGTGTTGGCGATAGGCACACAATGTAGAAAGATGTCATTTGTATAGCAATAATGGTACAAAAAGAGGGGAGAAAACAGAGCCATATAAGAGCAAAGTTTTATACAGCATTAAAATTAAGTTGCTACTAATCAAAATTAGATTGTGAAAAATTAAAATAATTGTAATCCCCAAAGGAACTATTAAAAAAGAACTCAAAATATATAATTTAAAAAAGGAATTACAATGATACACTAGAAAACAGAAAAAGAAACAACACAATATCTATCAACAGACAAATGGATAAACAAACTGGTGTACCAATACAAAAGAATATTATGTAGCCATCATAAGTAATGAAGTCCTGATACATGCTACAACATGGAAGATCCTTGAAAACATCAGGCTAAGTGTAAGACGCCAGACACAAAAGGCCATATATTATTCCATTTATATGATGTGTGCAGAAGCCAGATAGAAAATTCATGGTGGCTAAGGGGAGGTAGAAAGAGGAATGTCTGCTAATAGGTATGAGGTATGAAACTATTCTAAAATTCAATGGCTGTGATAGCCACACAACTCCAAATACACTAAAAACCACTCAATTTTTATACTTTAGATGGATGGATTTCCTTTTCTTGTGAATTATATCTCAACAAATCTATTTTTTAAGTTATAAAATAAGTAACCAACAAAAATAATCACATACATATATACAGATTCTATCAACTATACGTCAATATTAAAAATTTCATTAGGGCCCTATTGTTATTCAGTGGGTCTTAATCTCTGTAAGACTCTCTGGTAGTAGAATCAAAGACCTAGAATGGGCAAAAGAGAACGTTCTTCTGTCCTAAAAGCCAGGGACCTTTCCCCCTGACAGAATATGATCCATTAAAGGACCTTTGTCATTAATTTCCTGACCACTTGTTTACCTGCTTCATGCTAACAATGGATTTTTCAGCAACAAATGTAATCTAAGGAGAAGGCCGTCTTTCCTCATCTGCAACTGTGACACAACGACCTTCTGCCTTCCCCTCCAACACTAGAATAACTTTCAGTCTTAAAGTTCTTAAAAAAATAAGTAAATAAAAGCTTCTCTCTTTAACATTTTGCAGAATATCACATTCACTACTGGCATTCCCCATTCCTACTCCAACCTCACCCTCCCGGCAGCAGTGATGAGTTCTGCCAGTTAGTATTCCATGCGGAATTGCTGAGACTTTATTAGGAGAAATCCCATTAAAAATAATAAGATATCAAAGGTGGAAGATACAGCTCATAAAACAAGAGTATGAGGGGCAAAGTGGCTGGCAGGCTTCAAGACAAATAACTATTGGAGTCCAGAAGGGAAGATACAAGCCAAAAGAGTACCAAGGTGACATTTTAAAGAACTGTCTTCCACTTTGTCTGGCTGGTTTTATATGAAGTGTTGTCAGCACAACCTTTTCAATCATGTTGCCTGGATTGAATACAACTCACTTTCCTACGTACCTTTTAATTTCAGATCCCGACCTTTGTCCTCCTAATTCCTACAAAGTAAACTAAACAGACCAGCAAATGTTGACTCTAAGATTACATTTTTACACAGAAGGATACAGAACTTACCACTCTCTTTTCCCTGAAATCAATGCCCACTGTTGTGATAAATTTGGAGTTAAATTTACCATCTGTATATTGGTAAAGTACACTGGTCTTCCCTACGCCAGAGTCTCCCAAAGCTAAAAACTTGATGAGGTAATCATAATCTCCATCAGACATAATGAAGAACTCAGTGGTTCACCTGTAAAATACACACAAATTTTTTTAATTAAAATCCATTAGAAAACATTAATTATCCATTAAAAAAATGATGACAATATTCAGCTTAACACCTAATGTTAACCTGTATGTCTACAGGTTGTATGAAAAGAGGGTTACATACATATTGGTCACCATCCTTGAAGACCCAATAACTAGCTAGATGAGAAGCTATTGAAATAGTAATTAACAGTGTAGTTTTAATTTAACATATATGTAATCCCAGCACTTTGGGAGGCCAAGGCAGGCGGATCACCGAAAGTCGGGAGTTCGACACCAGCCTGACCAACATGGAGAAACCCCATCTCTACAAAATACAAAAATTAGCCAGGCGTGGTGGTGCATCCCTATAATCCCAGCTACTCGGGAGGCTGAAGCAGGAGAATCGCTTGAACCCGGGAGGTGGAGGTTGTGGTGAGCCAAGATTGCGCCATTGCACTCCAGCCTGGGCAACAAGAGCGAAACTCCGTCTCAAAATAAAAAAATAAATAAAAATAAAAATAAAAACATACATATTATAGTACCAAAAAAGGACAAAAATTCCAAGTGAGAATGATAATCAACAAGAAAGTAACAGTCACTAAGTCTTATCTGCAGACTATATAGAATAAAAACTAATACAAGAAAAATAGAGGAAGGAGAATGTTATAAGGAATAACAGTAATTGTTAGAGTACAAGTGGTTCCAATTTCCCCTCCTTTTTCAAAGTCTCCTAGTGCTACAATTTGCAATTGCAAAAATAAGGAACCAGTCCAAATGCTCACCAATCAATGAGTAGATAAAGAAATTGTGAGAGAGAGAGATATATATACACACACACACACACACACACAGATATATATGCACACACACACACACATACACACACACACATACATATACATATACACACACATACATATACATATACACACACACACCATGGAACACTACTCAGCCACAAAAAGGAATGAAATGATGGCATTCACAGAAATCTGGATGGAATTGAAGACCATTATTCTAAGTGAAGTAACTCAGGAATGGAAAACCAAACATCATATGTTCTCACTCATAAATGGGAGTGAAGCTATGAGGATGTAAAGGCATAAGAATAATACAATGGGCTTTGGGGACTCGGGGGAAAGAGTGGGAGGGGGGTGAGGGATAAGAGACTACAGATTGAATACAGTGTACACTGCTTGGGTGATGGGTCCTTCAAAATCTCAGAAATCACCACTAAAGAACTTATTCATGTAACCAAACACCACCTGTTCCCCCAAAAACCTATGGAAATTAAAAAAAAAAAAGAAACAAAGTCTCCTAGTGCTAGAACCTTGCCTTTTCTCTCTTTTTACATGGACATCTAGGCAATTTCATTTATTCTATTCATTTTCACATGTTATTACAGTTCCTTCAAAGACACTGTTATTTCACAAGTAAATTTACTCCCTGCTTCCTTACATATTACTATTAATATGTACTACATGTTATGTCAGACTTCTTTGGAATATCACTGCTCACTTGGGAACTGAGTTCCACATTTAAACAGTCACTGCTCAGAGACCATAGTCCCACAACCAAGGGCTCGCTTACCTATATTTACCTGGGTATTCTATCAAGAACTGCTAAAAATTCAGCTCTTCAATACTGACTAAAACAAAAGTCCACCTTAAGGAAGAAAAATTCATTTATATCAGCAATACCTAACCACGGCTATTTTTGGTTCTTTGCAATCAGCACTTTTCATGATTTGTTTTTACCCTCTAAATAGATTCAAAACCAAAATATCAGTCCAACTAGAAATGGGATCTCTCTCCAGGGAAGGTTTACTTTTTTATTAAAATTTTATTGATACATATTTGTACATTTTTATGGGGTACATGTAATATTTTGTTACATGCATAGAATGTAATGATCACATCAACACAATGTTACATGCACAGAATGTAATGATCAAGGTATTTAGGGTATTTATTACCTCGAGTATTTATCATTTCTATGCATTGAGAACATTTCAAGTACTCTCTTCTAGCTATTTTGAAATACACAATACATTTTTGTTAACTATAGTCACCCTAGTCTACTGTTGAACATTAGAACTTATTCTTTCCATCTAACCGTATGCTTGTACACATTAACCAACCTCTCTCCATTCTCCCCAATGCCAACAAACTCTCCTGAAAATCATAAAAATAACTATCTCATTAACACTGACAACTCTACATGACTATTCAAAAACATACATATTTATCTATCTAGATACATGCCAGATGTCCTGCATTAGATGCTACTGAGTCCTGGCATTATCTCCTTTTTACCCAGCCCCATATCCAGAAACTTGGCTGCCATACTCAGTGCTTCCTATAGGACTATTTCTATGTATCCATAAAATTAATAAAAACTCAGACAAGAATACTGACTGGTTTTCAATGTTGCCTCCCTTACCCTATCCTCAACTTGGTGACTCACCTTATGCTGAAAACTCCTGAATGCTGAGCCCCAAGAGCCACTGCAGGGTGTTTCCTCAGAGTCCTTCAGTGCAGATCTGCAACCTCACGTTTCAGGTATGGTCAGCCCGTGGATAAGGGCAGAGCCTCTACAAACATTCAAAATTCTATTTGCACACCATAAGGAGTGACACTTCACAGATGATGCCTTACCTATCTTTATAGTTGGGTATTTGCAAGTGTAGGTCACCAGTATTAATGACATATAACAGAATTCCTCTCCAAAAACCGACAACTTGGACATCAACATTATGGCATGTCACATCATAGCATCACACCTGGCTCTAAGTTATTGGAAATAAGAGCTAAGAATTGAAAAGCAAGTCCAGATAATGTTGACTCATTTGGGGGCTTCCCCTCAAACTGAATGGAGCAGCAGAAAACAATACCGATCCTGCAGTGAGAATGATGCAAGAAGACACTGTGGCTACCTTATTTCCTCTTTATTTTTAATTTGAAAAAAAAAGTTGGTATAACTATGTTTTTTATATCACTTAAGGTACATGAAAAAATGCTGTCACTAATGGCATCATATTCTAGAATTCTCTAAACCCACTTAAGTGGAATTCAAAGACTTAAACTATCTTTAATGTGTTTCATTTCCATGGATAATCACACATGTAAGTCTACAAGTGATCTTCATGAGTTTTGTTTTCTATTCGCAATAGCAATAGTGACCAAGTAATCATAAAGGGACTATTAACAAACCAAATACCGCAAACTGAAAGTATAGATACCACCATCAATATTAATCATAGTTCGCACTTTTCAGATTGTATCTTTAAGACAATTATCTGCTTTCTTGATCTGAAAATAAATGTTCAGACCTTCCACTCTCTGGGTTCAGTTTTCTAAAGGATAAAACAGAACCCAGAGAAGCAGACTGATTTGCACAATCTGGAATCTAGATCTCCTAGTTCCAAGTCCAATGTCTGTTCTACCCCAAGCTTCATGTCCGTTACTCATTTTTGTTACAAATGCAATATTGGGCTTTAAAGTGACCACTAGTATGGTATTTTACAAGGTAACCTAATAGGAAACTCATAAAATCAAGCAGAGCTGGGTTTGAAATCCCAAATCTCCCAGATACCAATTACTTGGATGTCTCTGAGCCTTAGATTTCCAGGTTTCTGTTCTATAAAAAAGAATACATACTACACCTCACACCATTGTTCTGAGGATTCAATGAGATACTGTTTATGGAATGCCCAGCACAATGGTTGGCATATACTGGGTACTTAACTGTTAGCTCACTTATTGTCTCCATTGTGGACATTCAGACTGAGTCTGAAGACCTAGAACAATTTTCAAATTGACTCTGGCCAGCTTAAAACATGTTTTTCTAGCACAAAGTATTGCTCACTGGTTCAAAGTGGTCGGCTGAGTTAACAAAGATCACTTTCAAACTAATTCTGATCTTTTTTAGCTGGTTCTAACCATTTGCAATTCATTTAATAAAGATATGTTTATTTCAAAAGAGTTCTGATCAACTTGAAAACAGGTTCAAATCCATATAAAATACACCCATCCATTTCAGCAAGTTCATAGTTGTTCAAAAGAATCTTGTTCATATTATTTTAGGGTGAGTTAAAAGAGGTTCTCCTACAAAACTACTTTCTGACTCTGGCTAAAACCTGATGTATCTAACCAAAATTATTGGAGTCTCATTGTAATTAGCTTTAATTGCTTCAGACTGGTTTTAGCTAGCTCAAATAGGCTCTCACTTGGACATGCAGGTTCTGACAGGCTCCTATAAGTTTTAGTTGGTTCTGAGTATATTTTACTGGATCGAACTCTGCTGACAAATTAAATCTACTTTCAATTGAGTCACACTTGCTCAAACTCTATTAAACTGCTGGAAACTAGTTTGATAACTACAGTTATCTATAAAATTGTTCTTACTTGTTTAGACTGATATAGACTGGTTCAAAACAGTCTGAAATGTTTCAAATTAATTTCAGATGTCCCAACAGTTCAAAACTAGAAACGTAAAATGACAATCGGAAGCACCAAAAACAACAGTGTGGTGCTTAAAACTTGTGCCAAACCAACAAACTTCAAATTCTATTTTTAAATTACCTCATTTGTAGGTATTCTGTATCCAAAAATGTATCTCCACCATTACATACTGTATCGCCACACTCGAACAGCATGTATGTGTTCGAGGACAGTAAAGGATTGGGAGAAAGGAGCACTGGCATAGGAGATGACGACAGATAACAGGGAAAGATGTGATGAGTGATACAGGCTTCCTGGGTTGAGAATTCATCTCCCATCTTACCTCAAAGACCCGGCAGAAAAACATTCACCCATGACCTAGCAATGAAGACTTCAATTGGGGAAAACCTTCAGCAAATTTGGATGCTGTCTAGAGTTTGTCCAAAATTGATCACACTGACCAGGCTGGTCTGGGTTAACAGAGACCAGAATTCCAAAGAATAAGGAAATTTCAGAGAAATAAAGGGAGTTGGGGGCAGGCAGGTTTTCAAAATAACAG